ACTTGAAGGACCAGGTTCGCAACAATGGCATCCGCGTTGCTGGGGTGCGGGTCGGATCCGCCATGCGGCTGCGGCTGTGACCGTTCGCAAAAGCAAAAAGGTGGAACATCTCGCACGAACAAAGAATGAACACCATCAGTGAACCACCATTGGTGTCAGAGACAACAACGCGGTGTGTCCACTGCACGATCCTGCCGTCCCCATCTTTTGGGCCGCGCGGTGTTCGGCACTGGCCGCGCAGGAGGGTGGAGTTGCTTCTTTCGGCTGGAACGACACGAGTACGGGAATAGTGGGTACAATACCCAACGCAAGTCCCTGCTCGTTTTGAACAGGACTCGCTGTCCGCGCCGCCACTGGCGTGATCCATCTGAGACAGAAGGCCGCCCGCCCAACGACGACCGCTGTTAGTTCTGGACAACACGTTTGGCTAGGCATCGTATTCGTTGCCACTTGCCGCATTTATTTCGGGGGTGGACAGACCTCCTACCCTGACGCGTCGAGTAGCGAATTGGCCGTTGTCGGCTCGCGAGATGGCGTCGCGGCCGTCATTCTTGCGGGTCCAGGTCCGTCGGTTTTGTTTTTGGGCCGTTTTTACAACATTCTTCTTTGTCTCAATGGAGGTTTGTCCACCGCCGATGATTTCGGACGTCGGAACTCCCTGTGGCTGCGCCTGGCGAGGGCCCGCGCGCGCATCGCGGAGCGGGCCTTCTCCGCGAGTGCGCTGCGGGCGCAGGCTGAGCAGCTGAGCCGCGACGGGGGGCAGGGGGCCGCCCGCGGACGCGCCGGCGGGTCGCCGCGCGCGGCGGCCGCGGAAGGGCGCCGGGCGCACAGGCCAGCACTGCGCCCCGTCGGGCCAGAGCCGATGTCAAGCAGTCCACGAGCAGAAGGGGGGTCGGGGTCTGGGGGAGGGGGGCAGGCTTCTTGAAGACACCCCTGCCTGCATCTCAGAGGACGCGGGCCTTGTCTGTAGATGTAGGGTGAGGCCCGCGCCGTCGAAGAAGCAGGCTCCTTCAGAGAAGCCTACCCCCGCTCACCCTACCCCCCTTATGCGCGCCACCAGGGCCTGTTGGACACGGCCAATCGGCGTGTTCAGGGCGTGGGTCAGAAGTGGGTGCGTCCATCCGACGGGCAGTCCGCCGAGTGCGCCGTGCGTCGGGTGCGGGCTTGGGCAGGAAGGGCCATGGGCCAGGCGAGCGCGCCGTCTGTTGGCGCCAGCGGCATGCGTTCCATGCGCCAGCGAAATGGACCATCTGGAGTTTGTGTCGGAAGAACGCGCCTTCCCCGAGCATTTTCAAGGTCCGCGGAACGGCGTCCCGATCGGCGTTCCAGTCGCCCGCCGATGCGCAACCGCCGCCCGAGCGCACCCGTTAGCCATTCCGCGTCCGTTCCCCTGTCCCTCCCAGGCTGCGACGCCTGTTCTGGTTCCTCCGCCCTCGCAGTTCCAATTCTCCTTCGCCCAGCTCGCCAGCGGCCGTCGGCTGGCCAGCCTTCGGGGGGCGTAATGTGGCGGTGCGACGAATGGGGCCGGGATCCCGGGGGGGCCAGGAAGGGGCCCTCTATGGCACTCCTGCAGCCCCGAAGACGCACGAAAGGTGCACCTTTCTTCAAGGGCGCCCTCGAGGGCGCGAAGTTGAAGCGCTTCGCGCTTCGCGGTTCGGCTTCGATTCCTCCTCGTCCTCCTCTTCTCTTTTGGGGGGGCGGCGCGAGAGCGCGAAGTGATTCGCGCTTCGCGCAACGCGAAGCGCGAAGTTAGGCGCTTTTGTTTCTTCCCCCCCGTCTATTGTCTTCAGCATCGTTTAACTAATCCCCATTCCCATTGGGCCATGCTGTCTCAGCCCGACTCTTCCCGGCCCCGGGGCAGAGATAGTTCCCGCGAGACCCGAAGGGAACATGTCACACCCCAAGCCAGGAGACTAGGTCGGCCAGCGGGCCAGGGCCATGGCAGTGGGAGGGGGACAGGTTTAACGATGCTCATGGAGCAACGCCGGAGCCCTCGGCCTTCGGCCAGCTCAGGGGGGGATACATTGACCCCCAATCGCTCAATTCATCGCCAATAGAGGCGGATAGCCCACCCCGCTCAGGGCCGCGCGGATTCGCTATCGGGGGTTTCGCTGATCAAGCGTCGTATCGCCGATTCCATGCCGATGTTTCCCCCCCTGAGCTGGTCCCCCGTGACGATGTCTCTCCTTAAATGTCCCCGTCGCTGAGGAGCGCTCGAGTCCTCGGCTGTCGGCCGGCGCCCTCCAGGACCCCGGCCCACGACCCCCCGCACTCCCCCAGTCTTTCGAGCAGTGGCGAAGCATCTTGGCTTGCCTATTTGTAGCAAGGAGTGTTTGAAGAGCCTCTCGTGGTGTGCGCGACATGTTCTCGGAACCTTTCTGGCTGAAGAGCGGCCTTGTTTTAACACATCGGTTTTCCCTGTGCGTAGGACATTGCTTCTGTTCTTGGAACACTCTTTGGTTCTATATAAGGATCGGCCACGCGCAGAGGGGGGGAGGGGGAGGGGGGAAGGCTTCTCAGAAGCGCCCCTGCTTCTTAGAAGGCGCGGGCCTTCTCGATCGAGGCAAGGCCAGCATTATTGTGAGAAGCAGCCTCCTCCCAAGAAGCTTCCGCCCTCCCCCCGACCCCTCTTGGCGCGCCGCCGAAGAGAGCATGTCGTGGTAGGCTTAAGTCGGGCCAGTCCCCCTACAGGGGGATTTTCGACGAAAAAAAATACCCCCAAAACAAATCAAAAACAGTCCAAAAATGGTCTGGGGATTATTTGTTGATTATGTTTTGACCTTTTGGGAGTCTTTCTGGAATACTTTTTATTTTTCGTCGAAAATCCCCCTGTAGGGGGACACGCCCGAATGAAGGTTCGGGGGTGGCAGAGGGTGCAGCGATCACACCGTCGGGTGACTGCACATCGGCGGCGCGCCCCAGGGGGGAAGGCCGAGGGGCATTCTGCAACCCTGCGGGTTGTCCTGCTCCTCCTCCCAAGCCTCGCCCAGGAGGAGTGGTGGTTCCACGAGGGCGGCGTGTTCCCTCCTCCCCTCCCCGTCCTGCCTCTCCCCTCCTCGTCCTCTTTGATCCTCATCCTCATTCCTCAGTCCACCCTTATCCTTTATCCTCTCCCCTCCTCCTCGTCCTCCCTGATCCTCATCCCCGCTCCTCAGTCCACCCTTATCCTCATCATCCTCGTCGGGGATGCCGGGACGGTCGGTCCCTCCCCCCGCGGGTCTCCGACGGGGCCCGCCTCGCGGCCGTGTCCGGCGCCTCGGGCGCCCGTGGGCGGGGCAGCGGCTGGCCCTCGAGCAGCAGCCCTTGCCCTCGGGCCCCGCCGCCGCGCGGCTTTCCGCTTCGTTTGATTCGTCTTCTTATTGTTCTTCGTCTTTCGCCTTTCTTATTCGTCTTCCGTCTTTCTTCGTCTTTCTTTGTCTTTCGTTTTTCTTCGTTTTTTTTGTTCCGATTATTGTTTTTCGTCTTTCGCTTCTTGTTCCGGTTTTTGTTCTTCTTGTTCTTTCCGTTTCTTGTCATTATTCTTTTTGTTCCGCTTCTGTTTCTTCGTCTTTCTCTTCTCCGTAAGGGCTTCGCCCCATGCTGCCGGCCCCCTGTCTCGGATAATGGGAGATGGAAAAGCTAAATCATGAGGTCTTGGCGCCGCCGTGAAGCAGTGTCGGGATCTGTTTGTCGTTTCGACCCTGACCTTACGGATCTGCGTGAGGGGTGCAGCCGAATTTCAGACATGTGGCAAATCCCATGTGTTTTTTGGACCCTGACCCAGCCGATCTACGTGAGGGGTGCCAGCAATTTTGAGAAATGTGGCACATCCCTTGTGTTTTTGCACCCTGGCCCCGCCGATCTGCGTGAGGGGTGCCACCGAATATCAGAAATGTGGCAAATCTCGTGTGTTCTTGGAACCTGACCCCGCCGATCTGCGTGAGGGGTGCCACCGAATTTTAGAAATGTGACAAACCCCATGTGCTTTTGGACCCTGACCCCGCCGATCTGCGTGAGGGGTGCCACCGAATTTTAGAAATGTGGCAAATCTCATGTGTTTTTGGACCCTGACCCCGCCGATCTGCGTGAGGGATGTTAATTTTCACCCACCCCAGCAATTCAGAGCATACGCTCAGGGCCTGGTGAAAATGCCCGTTTTGGGCCTCCCGCCCTCGCACGGTCCATCAACAAGGAACAGTAAGCAGCAAGAAGCAGAACTGTAATAGTGGAAATTGGAAGCTGCAAAGAAGCATAACTGTAACAGTGGAAACTGGAAGCTGCAACTGGCACAGGAAACTGCAAACGTTCGTTCTACAGCCTGGAGGCCCCACCAGGGGGCCGGCGGATTCGTCTTCTTGTTAGTATTATTGGTTTTTTATTTCTTCTCTTAGTGGCATTGTCCGTATTGGTCCGTATTGTTATGATCACGATTCGTGCTTATCATTATCATCATCATGTTCATGCGATTCGCAGTGTTGTTGTTACTATTGTTATTGCTATTCGTATTACTAGTGGTGTCATATGTGTTTTTTGCATATCATTCCTATTAATATTGTTTTTATTTGCAGTATGCTCAGCATCGTTATTCATATCATTATTCGTAGTATTCTCGGTATGCTCGGCATTTTTCGTATTCGTATTATTCGTAGTATTGTTATTATTGGTTTCATCATTATTCTTCATAGTATTATGAATGCTCCTCTTCTTCTTCTTTTTCTTCCTCCCCTCCTCCCTCTCCGCCTCATCCTCCTCCTCCTCCGCCCTCCTAGTCGCCCTCCTTCTCCTCCTCCTCCTCCTGGGGAGAAGCCCTGGAGGCTCCCCGAAAGGCGCACAACGCCGCCATCCGCGCTATACAGTACCCCTCGTCCTCCTCCCCTCGTCGTCGCCTCCTCGGCCCCCTCGTGCCTCCTCGCGGCCCCCACGCCGCCCCCCACGCGTACCCCCCCCCCCTTCTTCCCCTCTTTCCTTCCTGGGCGACCCCCGAGCCCTCGGCCCTCGGCCGGCGCCCCCCCCCCCTTCAGGACTTCTCCGACCAGCTCGCCCGCGCCCTCTCCCCGTCGGGGGAGGCCAGCAGCAGCAGCGCCCGGGGGGGCGGCGGCAGAGCCGAGGCGCGCCCCGCGGGCCCGCGCCCGCCGCCCGCCCGCCCCTCGCGAGGGGCCGAGGGGGGCCACGTCTGGGTGAGCGGCGCGGGACAGCGGGGTCGTCTTCACCGACGCTGGCGCGTGGACTGCCCGCGCAGGGTCGCGCGGCCCTGCGAGCGCACCTTCGTCTCCAATTTGGCGCGTCTCGGGCCGGACGAAAGGGGGGGGGAAGGGGAAAGGGGCGGGTTACGACATCTGCTGCACGCAGCTGGTTTGGGCCCCGCCGAGGGGCCCACGCCTCCTGGCGCCGGGAGGCGCCTGGAACATCAGCTCCCCCTTTCGCTATCCCATTGCTATCCCTTTCGCTATCCCTTTGCTATCCCTTTGGCTCCCTTTGCTATCCCTTTGCTATCCCACGGATTCTCAGCACCTCCCTTTGCTATCCCCCCCTCTCGCCCGACCCGAGTGTCGGGCGGGCGGCCCGCGCAGGCCGCCGCGCAAGGTCGCCATCCTGCCTCGCACAGGTCCAGGTGTTTTCTCCTTATCCTAAGAGGTGCATCGGAGGTGGGCAGACCTCCTACCCTGACACGTCGATTGAGGAATTGGCCGCCGCGTAAGGTCGCCGTCCTGCCTCGCACAGGTCCTAAGGTGTTTTCTCCTTATCCTGAGATGCATCGGAAGTGGGCAGACCTCCTGCCCTGACACGTCGATTGAGGAATTGGCCGTTCTCGGTTCGCGAGAGGGCGTCGCGGCCGTCATTTTTGCGGGTCCAGGTCCGTCGATTTCGGCCCCAGGTCGTTTTCACTACGGGGAGGTTTACGAAAGGGAGGTTTGTCCACCGCCGAATGGGGTTCTTGTGATTGCCTTCGCGCCAAAACGGTTGGGATGTCTCGAGCGGTTTGCCTGTTTGTGCCCCCCAAATCCTCCGCTTTCGCAGCAGATTTGGAAGATGTCTCGAGCGAGGAGCTGGTTATCGCACCCCTGGTGGCCCAGATTGCGAGGATGTCTCGACCGGTTTGCTTGTTTTGCTGGCCAGATTCGTGGGCGTGGATCCTCAGGGTGCCACAGGAAGCTCCAGCAGGCTCCAGGAGGCCCCAGGAGGCCACATGAGGCACCAGGAGGCACCAGGAGGCACCAGGAGGCCAGAGGAGGCCCCAGGAGGCCACAGGAGGCTCCAGGAGGCCCCAAGAGGCTTTAGAAGGCCCCAGGAAACACCACGAGGCCCGAGGAGTCCACAGGAGGCCACAGGCGGCCACAGGAAACGCCAGAAGGCACCAGGAGGCCCCGGAAGGCCACAGTAATTAGCCCCCACGAGGCCCCAGGAGCAGGATGCCTCAGAAGGCCACAGGAGAGGCTCCAATCCCCCGCGTTTTACATATGTTTCTATAGATTGGGCCTCCTCTGGAGTGCGAATCCTTTGTGTTCACGTATGTTTCTATAAAGTGTTTTTCTCCTGTGTATCCACTCCTCAGTGGTTTACATAAGTTCTTATATACTGCCCTGAGGCACGAGTCCTTGGTTTTTTACACGTATTCCTATACACTGCCCTTCTCCTGTGGCTTCAATCCGAAGTGTTTTACGTCTGTTCCGTTCCTATAGATTGGGCATCTCCTAGGGCACGAATCCTCCCCAGGAGGCCCCATGAGGATCCAGGAGGCTCCTGCAGGCCACGCGAGGCCACGCGAGGTCCCAGGAGTCTTCAGGAGGCCACAGGAAGCCCCAAGAGGCCACAGGAGGCCCCAGGAGTTTTCAAGTGGCCCCAGGAGGTCCCAGGCTCATGAGCAGAGACGCACTAATACTATTGAGACTCATTCAAAATCCAACTCATTCACAGTTGGATTCACTCCCAGACCGTCAGTACTGAAAACCGCTTCTTTTCGGAAGCTCTTGCGCCTAGACACTCATGGCGGACAGGTCCATGCTAATAGATGCACATCTGGGGAGCTCCAGGCAGTAAGTAATTTGCGCTGCTCAGGTGGAGAGTCTCAGGGGTGGGGGGTCAGAATCCGGGTTCGAGGTTTCGTTTTGTTGTTGTGATATTCCAATATGATCCTTGCGGTCCAGCCTCGGGGTGCGTTCCAGCAGCTGCGCCTCGCCGAGGGCGTGCAGGGGGTGCCAGAATCGTCCCGCATGGGGAGGAGCATGACGATGAGCCAAATGGAAAGGAGCATCGTCCAGAAGGACGACCCGCATGGGGAGGAGCAGGGATTAGGGGGGAGGGAAGGTGGGAGAGGTTTTCGGACGATTTCGAGGTTCGAGGTGTCGGGCGTTTGCCAGCTCTCGGCGGTTTCCCAGCCTCGGGATGCCTTCATCGGCTGCGCCTCACCGAGAGCTTGCCGGGGGTGCCCAGATCGTTTCGACCGGCCGCCAGAGAGCCGAGTTATGACCCGAAGACCAGGGGGCAGCGTGAGGGGGGATGAGCACAGTGGGGGACGCATCGACCCACGAATCGCCCATTCATCGCCGATATTGGGCCCGATAGCCCACCCCCGCCATGGAGCGTGCGGATTTGCTACCGGGGGCCTATCGCCGATCAATCGGCAACGTACTTATCGCCGATTCCAGGTCGACGTTTCCCATGAGAGGGGGAGGAGGCAGAGTCAGGGGTCAGCAGTGAGGAACGGCCGCAGCATTGGGCAGAGCAGATGAGGGAGGAGATTGGAATTGAGGACGACGGCGCACGGCCGACGGCACGGCAGATGACGGACGAAGGCGACCGCCAACGATGACGGCTGCGACGGCGGACGGCGGCTGCCGGCGGCGTCGGACACTGGACGACGACGACGACGCGGACGACGACGGCGACGGCGTCGGACGACGAACGGCGGACGACGGGCGACGACGGCGATCGACGACGGACGGACGGGTGACGCCGGACGGCGCGGACGCCGGCGGCGGCGGACGCCGGTGACGACGGACGCCGACGACGACGGCGACGGCAGCGGAGACGAGGGGGCAGCCCTCGGCGGCGCTGCCCAGGCGAGCCGGCCGCAGGACGACCCGGCGTTGGCTCTCCCGGCGGGGGCGGGGGGCTCGGAGGTTCGGTTTATGTCGGGCCTGTCCCCCTACAGGGGGGTTTTCGACGGTACATAAGAAGTACCCCAAACGTAGTTCAGAAATAGTCTCGGGACTATTTTTGGGTATTTTTTTGCCTTTGGGGGGTATTTGTTTTATGTATTTTCGGTTTTTCGTCGAACATTCCCCTGTAGGGGCCGTATGGGGACACGCCTGGCTTAAGGTTCGGGGGTGGCAGAGGGTGCAGCGATCACGTCGGGTGACTGCACATCGGCGGCGCGCCCCAGGGGGGAAGGCCGAGGGGCATTCTGCAGCCCTGCGGGTTGTCCTGCTCCTCCTCCCAAGCCTCGCCCAGGAGGAGTGGTGGTTTCACGAGGGCGGCGTGTTTCCTCCTCCCCTCCCCGTCCTGCCTCTCCCCTCCTCGTCCTCTTTGATCCTCATCCCCATTCCTCAGTCCACCTTTATCCTCATCATCCTCGTCCTCCTTGGTTATATTTCTCCTTCCTCCTTCCTCCTTCCCCATTCCTCCATCTTTCCTCGCCTCATTCCTGTTCTTCCTTCTTTTCTCCTTTCCTGGTCCTTCTTCCATATCGTTGTCATCCTCCGTCATCCTCGTCTTTTCTTCTTCCTTCTTTTTCTTCCATATGTGTGTGTACACATATATGCACATACATGTGTCTACGTATACGTCTATGGGTATATATCCATGTGTAACAATCTATCTGTACATATGTACCCGCAATGTGCTTGGTTCTAGCGTGTCTCGGTTCCAGAGGGGAGGGGAGGGGCTCAAGACACGTGTTCCTGGTTCAATGGGGTCAGAAATTGGTTGTCTCGACATCCGCATACATCGATGTAGGCGTGCATACATCTAGGTACGTACGGATATTTCTACATATGGCGGAAAAGGAAGGAGGAAGGAATGACGAGGGTGAAGGAGGACGAGGAGGAAGCATAGCAGAAGGATGGGGAGGGGGAGGGGAGGAGGAAAGAAGGACTAATTGGAAGGATGAGGAAGGATGATGGATAAATGGGGAAGGAAGGAAGAAGGAAGGAAGATAGCCGTGGAGGAATAGGATGATGAGGATAAATGAGGAATGAGGAAAGAGGATAAGGATGAAAGAGGATTAGGAGGAAGGGAGAGGCAGGACGGGGAGGGAGAAGGAAACACACCGCCCTCGTGAAACCACAACTCCTCCTGGGAGAGGTTCCTCCTCCGCCTCGTCCTCCTCCTCCTCCTCCTCCTCCTCCTTCCCTCCCGTCCTCCTCGTTATGGTCGCGTTGCACGGTTTTTTAACTACCTTGCGAGTGCTTGTGAACTGACGGGTCCAGGTTGTGGCGCAAGTGGCTCCCGATCAGAGGGGAGCGCGCCACCCACTTCGTGTCCAGCACATTTTCCGGGATCTTTGCCGCCCCATCTGTTCAAACCTTGCTACGGGATATGTTCCACAGTGGCGACCCATGCCAAGAAACACCCTGCTTGCCTCCAGGGTGCCCGAGTTTCTTGGGTCTCGATGGTTCTGCTATGGAAAGCGTGACGTTCCCGCACAACAATATCAGAGGGCGTCCTGGGGTATCAGAGTTGGGTTTCTTGTGGATGTTTTCTGGTTGTCGAGCCCCTATTGTGAGTCTTCTCCGGAAGTGCAGAGGGCTCTTCAGGAGGTCGCCGCCTTTGATGTGAGAAGGCCTGCCCTCTTTCAATCGCTCCCCCGTCGGCGCGCCGCCGACAAACGGCGCGGCGACTACACCGTCGCGTGAGTATACAGACGCAGTTGTTTTTTCCCTCGCGTCCTAGATGGGCCCGCCCTCGTGCGAGCGGGGGTGACCTGAGTTGACTTGACTTGACTTGACACCTGTGGTAAGCTTGACTTGTTGCTGCCTCGCTCGCGCGCTGCACAACGCGAGCGCGCGTGAACGTAGCTGACGTCTGCCCAGGCGAGGGACCAGAGTCAGAAGCGGGTTGCAATACAGTGACCTTCGGCCCACCCCGCCACCGTGCTTGGCTTGTGGTTATGAAGCCTAGTGGATGTTCGTTGGGATATCATGGGGGGCCTCTCGGGGTCCTCTTGGAGGCAGTTTTGAGGCCTCTCGGGGGCCGTTTGGGGGCCTCTTGGAGTCTCTTTTGGGTCTCTTGGGGGCCGTTTGGGGGCCTCGTGGGGGCACCCCTCTTGGGAGCCTCCTGCCTTCTGCCCAGGCGAGGGACCAGCGTCCGAAGCGAGTTGCTCTAAGGATATTTACTTAGACGGAGAATTCACGACGGGGTGATTCGGGGTCAGCTGACTGTCTTGGGACGTGGGCCTCCTATTCGAGGATGGATGCTCAAGTCCCAGGCTGGTCTCGGACCGTGAAACCAGGTTCGTGGAGGCCATCGCACGGCTTGTCGCCAGCCTGCTCTGGGGCCCCAACAGGAGCAGGGGAGGCTCGGATCGGACGAAAGGGGGGATTGGGGGATTGGTCACTAAGTCAAAACAGATGCCCAATCCCAAAAACGCGAGGGCCACGACAAAATGCAGGCTCCTCGAGACTTCTGGGAGGGAGATTTTGGGGTAGGGTTTTACCAGGGCGACGACGACGAACGCAAAACATACCCTGAAATCTTTGGCCGATCTTCGAACCCTCGGTGAATCCGCGATTTTGGGATTGGGGATGTGTTTTTTCGTGGTCAATTGGGGCAGGGGTGGGGTTACGAAGCCTCTTGCGTGCGGCCAATTTCAGCTCCGCCGCCACGCTCTCCTCGGTGCAAGGGCGCTCCCGGCGCCAGGGGGCGGGCGAACCGGCTGCACGCAGCTGACTTGCTGCCTCGTTCCCTTTTTTCCGCCCCTCGCTTCTCTCGCGCCGACAGCCAAGGGATTCGACAACAAGCTTGCAAGCTTTTGGCTGGCCCCTTCTTCGAACATCTCCTCAGGACGCACCCCCTGGCATGTGGTCGTGGAGGAATGGGCTCTGTTTGGGCCGGAGGCCCCGCAGAGAAGACGATCCGCGGGGAGAGAGTTGTCCTGGTGATAGTGGCGGAAGGTTCGGGACCATCGTCGTGAAACACCATGTGCGATGGAGGTCTTGGGAGGGAGGGATGGAGGGAGGGGGGGAAGGGAGCCGGATGGACCCCTTCGGCATTCGCGACCTCGCTGGGCGTAGGGTGGACCACCCAGGACCGGTGATATGAGTGGATGGGGAGAGGGGCGCAGTGGTTGTGGTAAACTACTGCGTGTTCTTTGCTTGTCTGTTTGCTTTTGTTGTTTTCGTACTTTGCAGCGTCAACCTCATTATCAGCTTGTTCGCCATCGTTTTCCAGTGTAGATTGTTTTGCTTATCTGTTCCATTGTTCCATGTATGCGTATGTTTTTTTGGTGCAGTGATTGATCAATCGCGTTGAACGTCAATGCGCGGAGCCATGCTTATTTATTAAATATAAGCTAACAAGCATTTTTTATCTAGAGATACAAGGTTTTGCCGTTTACCCAAACGCGCATACTCATATATGTATAAATATTTAGATTCTCATACACATACATATACATACGTATATATACATATATACATATATCGATGCCCACATGCATATATTTTTCAGTTCAGCCTCGTAACGCTGTGTTTGCAGAGTCGTCTACTCGTAAGCACCAACAGATGAACAGGAGCTGGCAGGAGGAACTGCAGAAAAGGGACGGGCTGCGCAAGACAAGCGGGCCAAAGACATCTCCCCTGACCTGCGTAAGACCACTTAGAGCATCTTCAACGTATCAACCTCCCCAGGGTCCACTAGCGAAGTTGCTTTCTTGGAACCGTTTGAAAGAGTGCTCTCCCCTGCTGCTGGCAGTGGGACCAAGGGGGTTTAACCCCCCCGCTGCCAACCAACAACATCTGGAAGGAAGAGTCCAGACCCCCCCCCCGTGGGACAATTTTTCGTGGGGGTCCAGAGCCTCCCCCACTTCCCCCCGAAAATTATTTGGGGTCTCCAGAAGGCCCCTCCCTCCCCCCGCTCGCCACCCCCCCTCTGGCAACGACGACGACAACGTTGACGACGGCGACGGCGACGACGGCGCCGCTGCCAGCAAACGACGCACGTCGCCGCCGGCAGCAAACGACGCGGACTACGACGACGACGGTGACGACGACCACCACCACCACGACGTCGACGACGACGACGATCACGAACACGATCACGACGACGACGATGACGACGACGACGACGACGGAGGAGGATGAGGAGTAGGAGGACGACGACGACGACCCAGACGACGACGACGACGACCACGACGACAACGGACGACGCACGACGCACGATGCACGACGCACGACGCACGACGTTTGACGCACCACGCACCACGACCACGACGACGACGCCAACGCTGACGCCGACGCCGACGCCGACGACGATGATCGACGATGATGACAACGACGACGGCTACGAAGACGACGAAGACGAGGACGACGACGACGAAGAGAGTAGGGTAGGCGTAGAGTAGAGTATCATAGGGTAGAGTAGAGTATAGTGGGGCAGAGTAGAGTCGAGTAGAGTAGGGTGGGGTACGGCAGGGTAGAGTAGAGTATGGTAGTGTAGGGTAGAGGTGGGATATGTTCATAGTCGAGCGAAGTAGAGTCGAGTCGAGTAGCGAACTCATATGAGTTTACTTGTGCAGAAATAAGGTAGATCAGAGCTGAGGAGAGCGGAGTAGAGTGACAGTCGAGTAGAGCAGGCACAGTAGGAACAGAGCAGAGTAAAATAGAGCACGTGAATGTACGGTAGGACTGAGTAGAGTCGGGTTTTAGTAGGGTGTAGTAGAGTGGGGTAGAGCAACATAGAGGATCATCGGGCAGAGTAGAGTCGGGTAGAGTACAGTTGGGCCCTCTGGGGATCTGAGAGAGCGGGAGCGAGCCCCAGTAGCATTCCGTCGGAGCGTGCGACTGGCGCGGGCCTTGTTCGACAGGTTTGCCGCCGCCGCTGCTGACGTTGCCGCCGTCGTCGCGGAGGGCTCGGCATGGAAGTCCGAGTTCCCTCTCTTTGTCCCCTCCTGAGGCTCTTTTGGGGCCCTCTTGGGCCGTCTTGGGCGCTTGTGGGCTGCTTCCGGGGCTCTCCCGGGCCGTCTCTGGGCCCTCTTAGGGACCTCTTTGGGCCGTCCTGGAGTAATCTGTGGGGCTTTTGATCCGCTTTGGACGCCATTGAAGCCAAATGGGTGGCTATGCTAACAATAGTAGTTCTTCGGAGTTGGGGCGCCTCCTGGGGGCCCTGTTGGGGGTCCTCGTGAAGCGTTCCAGGCACGTCTTGGAGGCTCCTTGGGCCGTCTTGAAGCTATATTAGTTGTTTTTCTGAGGCTTCCTTGGTGTGGTGGAGCCCAGCTTGGGCAAGCTGAGATGGAATCTTAGGCGTCTTCGAGGCCAAGGAGTGTAGAAATGGAGCCTTTGAGGTTCCGTTGGAGGGTTGGGGAACCCCGAGACCCCCCCTGGCTCCCCCCCCGGCTCCCCCTCTCTCTAATGGGATTTTCGGCCCCAGGGGAGGGGGAAGTGGGGAAGGGAGAGCCAATCTCGTTACACCCCTTTGCCCATCCTGAACGGTGTTTTGTCGATTTCGTGAACCGTTTTCGTTTTGATGCTGTTTTGCAGTAGAGGCGGAAGCATGCGAAGGGAAAGCAACAGCAACACGACAACGTGGAACTTGCTTAGGTCGATCCCTGCCCTATCTTCCTCGTGTCCTAAGTTCGTCTTGTGCATATCCCGTTCGTCTTGCTATTTCCATTCTTCCTGCAGCCTTCCTTCGTCCTGCCCCCCTCGTTCCCTCCTCCCCCCCCTCTTTGGCGGCACCTTCTGTCCTCCTTCTCCCTCTCGGCCTGTACCCCTTCCCGTCCCTCCCCCCCTCCTTCCCCGCCTCTCCTTCCCTCCCTCCCTCCTCTCCTCCTCGCTCGGCGTCGGGGTCGGGGGCGGGGCCGGGCGAGGTGCCGTCGAGGCCAGACTGGGAGGCCGAGATGAGGCGGATCCGGGAGCTGGTGGAGGAGAGCCAGCCGCGCCCCTCCCCCTCGAGGGCGTGCCCTGCAGACTGCCACGTGGCATTGGCAACGCGAGGGGGGGACGGGCTCAGGGGCGGCCGCGCCCCGCCTTCGGTGGCAGCCTTGTGCCGGCTCCGCGGGCGGACGTCACAGCGAAGCAAGAACTCTGTTGTGTCGGGGTTTCGCTGAGCCGGCTCCAGGAAGGACGTCTGTTGTGTCCCGACTTCCTTGAGCTCACGACTCTTTCTTGAGAGTCCTGTGCAGGGGCAACGTGAGGGGGGAATCTGCTCAGGGGGGGGATGCCTCCATCCCCAATCGCCCATGGATCGCCGATAGGGGCCCGTCAGCCCACCCTGGCCAGATCCGTGAGGATCTGCGATCCGGGGCCTATCGCCGATCTGTCGGCGATGCACCCCCGATTCCAGGTCAGCGCTTCCCCCCTTGATCCAGTCTCCCCCCTAGCGTGCCCCCCGCCCTGTTCTTTGGGTCTTCCCCTGCAAACTGCCTCGCGTATCCCCACCAGAGCACGACCTCACGACGCCGCGCGGGTGCCCGCTCGCGGTCGCGATCAAAATAGTATCCCCACCAGCCCATCCAGAAACGATGCCCAGGCGAGTTGCCTCTCAGAGTCTCCTCGGATGTCTCTCGGAAGCTTCTTGGAGGCCCCTGGGAGCGTCTTGGGGGCCTCTTTGGGCGTCCTGGGGGCCGCTTGGCGGCTGAGTCCAGCAAGCACCGCGTCGGCGGCAGCGGCATGGGGCTGGCAGGCGGCGGGTTCCACGGTGTGGTGTCGGGGTGGGGCGTTGCGGGTCCTGCATTCCCCCCCTCTCCCTGTTTCGTCTACCCATCGGTCGTTGAAAGTAGGTATGTTTGCATTCCCAGATTCCAATCTACTTTCAGCGTCTTCCTACTTAAGAGTCGAGTGGTTTTCCCTCTTCCCTCCTCTTCAGGGGGCGGGGCGGAAACCCAATCTATTTCCAACGCCTTCCTACTTCATGTTTCTACCTACTTCTTCCGACCGACGGGTACGTGTCAGATTGACCTTTTGCCAGAGTGGCCTCTGGTGCGCGCCCACAGGGCCCGGCCCGACACAGCGCTGGCTTGCGCGCCAGATTTGGCTCCCTCACCCACCCCTGCGGCCCTCTAACGCCACACACCAAATGTCAATATTGCCTAAGATCACTCCTGCGTATCGCGGGTCCTCCCGATTTTCTCGTTTGGGCTGGAGGGTTTCGTGGATGAGAACGTGCTGGACCTCCCTTGTGATGAACCGCTGGCCCTGGAGACGGCACCAGGCTCGGGAGCCCCGATTCCTCCGTGGGCCGATTTTTCTTGTTTCGCCGCGTGTCTGATAACAGGGTCTCTTGACATTTCGAGTATTTCTCTGCCTCGAAGGGCGGGGCCGCCAGAGGTTGTGGAGACACACCCCGTTATTGCGCCCTTTGGCTTTTGGGATTGCTATTCGTGTGTGCAATTTCGTTGCTGATTCCTGAGCTTGTGTGCGGGCGTTTGTCTGTGTGTGTGTGTTAACACGTGCGAGTGCATGTGAACCCATGCGCGTGCACACGCACACAAAACACATGCTACTTTGTATAGGCGTGTATCGGTTTCTGCCTATGCACGTGGCATTGCATATGCACACTTCCTCCAGATTTCGTCGTTTCAGAAGGTGTTTGGGAAGGAGGACCTACTCAAGCGCGCGAACGTCGCGCGAAGTCAACCAGCATCATGGCCCCTGTTGGGCCTCCAGCGGCATGGTGGTGGTGGACGTTGCACGCTTCCTACTCCCATGTGGGGGCGTTGGCGGTGGCGACGCTCGACGACCCATGACCAACGGCCTACGTAGTCCGAGAGCAGCACCGTGTCATCGTACTGATGCGTTCCGACACTTCTTCCAGGCTCTGCTGTTGTTTCGCGCGGACTCCTGGCACGATGGCCGATGGGCGGCTGCATCCACCCGCACGCTTGCCCGACGCTCGCGCCGTGAGCCCCAAAGCAAAAAACAGCTTCGAGGAGGAGGAGGAGGAGGAGGAGGAGGAGGAGGAGGAGGAGGAGGAGGAGGAGGAGGAGGAGGGATAGGAGGAGGAGGAGGAGGAGGAGGAGGAGGAGGAGGAGGAGGTAGAGGAGGAGAAGGAGGATAGGAGGAGGAGGAGGAGGAGGAGGAGGAGGAGGAGGAGGTAGAGGAGGAGAGAGGAGGGATAGGAGGAGGAGGAGGAGGAGGAGGAGGAGGAGGAGGAGGAGGAGGAGCGGGGCTGGTCCAGGGGCGCGGCGCTGGCCAGGCGCGTCGAGGAGCCGAGGACCTCGTGGGACGGCCGCTGGAGGCTCGCGGGACGCGGCGGGCGCCACCCATCCCAGCCTCGGGGAAGAGCTGGGGGCGGCCCGACCTTAGTGGGCCCTGGAAACGACAGGGCCGTTTTTTTACTGGTTTCGTTTTGCCGTTTTTTCGCCGGTTCCGACGCCGTTGTTTTTACTGGTCCGTCGCCGTTCTGTCACGGGTTCCCGCTCCGGTTCCGATCCTGGAGCCGTTTCTGTTGCCGTTTCCTGTCGCCGTTTTTTTTTGCCGTTTCCATTTTCAAGTGACGTTTTTTTTCGGACACGGTGAAAAAACGGCCCTGCCGTTTCCGGGGCCCATTGGAGGGCCCGACTGCTCGGCTGCGATGCCGAGCTCCGGGAGGAAGCGGTCGAGGCGCCGGAGGCGGGCAGCGCCGCGCGGGGCACGGGCCGCCGCCCGGGGGCGGCGCCGGGGCTCGCGTTGCAGTGGGGCCCGCCGGGCGGGGCCGCGCGGGCGAGCGAGCGCCTGCCGACGGGCGAGGCGGTGCCGCTCCGGAGGGCTGCCGTGTCGTTCGTGCCCGGCGGCGAGTTGTGAGGGCGGGCACGCAGCTGCGCGAGGCGGGCACGGGACGGCCCGCGTGCGGCGGCGGCTTGTTCGACGTGGCCGCGCCGCCGCAGGGCACCGCCGGTGGGCGGGCTCGGCGCGGGGGCGCAGCTTGTGTTAGTCAGTTTATGAATGCTGTGCAGTGGCACGGCCTCGAATCTTCTTTAGGATGCCGTGATTGTGAGCGCCGTGCAGTGGCATGGCTTGTGATGAGCAACCTGTCGGGTAGGATGTGAGCCTCAATAGTCGCCCCGCCCGTCAGTACATCGTCTGAGCGTCTGCATACTGGTTAGTGCACTTTCGCGGAGGCATTTTTTGAGGCGGATGAATATACGGCGCTTGCTGTGGGATTTCCCACGTTTATGGGACTGCTGCCACTTTACGGATCTAGTCAGCAGTCTCGCCAGCATCGCAGTGGGGGTCACAGCTACAGAGGCTGGGGCCAATCAAGATCGCTGACCCAGCGTGGCGCTCCTTCTGCCCAAGGCATGCACATCCAGAGGGTGCATGCCATTCGGGCCGTCGACTCAGCGCGGCGTTCCTTCTGCTCTGAAGTGAAACAGTGGCCACCGCTAGCTAGTTCGGGAATCGTGGGACATTTCCTGAGCGAATGGCCTCAGGACACCGTTCTGGCCCTGTACTGTCCAGAGACGGGGGACGACGGCGGCGGCGACGACTGACGACGACGACGACGACGAGCTGCTGGCAACCACGGACAACCGACGCCCTGATGTGATTAAACCTTGCCCCCCCCCTTCTCGGGGGCTGGCTTGTCATTCCGAGTAGGCTAGTTGACGGCCCCGGGGCCCCGAGAGGGCCCCCGAGGCCGAGAACAAGAAGGCCGCCGCCTTTTCTCCACGACGCGAGAATGTCAGGGTGTTGCAGCAACTCGTGGGGCCTGTCGTATTATCCGATGGGCTCTTGCGAATCGGCGCTGCATCGACGCCGCGTCGGCGCTGCGTCCCATCGATTACCAGACGCTAGTCGACGCTAGTTCACTCTGGACTCTGGAGACGGGGCATTGTGAGGGTACACGAGGCTCCCATGGTCTGCTACCGAATCAGCGCCCGCCGGGCGACGCCGCAGGACCCGGAGACTTCCGACGAGGAGAAGGTCAAGGTCCTGCACGAGGCCGGCCTCTGGTGCGCGGTGGGCCGGCGCGAATCGGCGCGAGTGGCCAGGGCAGGCCAGGGGCACGGCTGCGGCGACCAGTATGCACCGTAGCGCGTTGGCGTCCCCCGAGGCGTCGTCAGTCCTCGGCCCAGGAATGGTACGGTGCACAGTTTTGTCTGGCCCTCAGGGCCGAACAACTATGCGCCGTACTGCGCTGGAGCCAAACATGGTACGGTGCATGGGTACCGTTCTCGTAGAGTAAGGCGGGGGGGAGGGCAAGTTCGGTGCGCGAGCGTCGTATCTACCCCTGCCTCCCATCCCTTACCACTGCGTGGACCTTCTCTCTGTCCACACAGGCGGATATCGAGCAGGGCAACGACCCCGAGGGAGTGCGCAATGCACGGTGCAGCGCGGTACAGCACAGCACAGCTCGGCGGGCACGGCCACAGCTGGCGTCGTCGCGTCGAGGGTGCGTTTCAGGGGTGGGCCGGCGCGAGCGCGGGCAGGCCAGTGTTGGCGTGGGGCACGGCTGCGGCTAGGAGGGTGTTGGGAGGGGGGAGGTCACCACCAACAAGACCACCCCGACCCAACCTGAAGGCTTGTGAAGTTCCAACCTACTTTAGCCTTGATCACCAGAATGAATTTCGAGCATCAGGAAAAGACCCCCAAACTTGAGGGTTTTCACGTGTCGGGCCCTGGGAGACATTCT